GGTTTGCTGGTCCAGTAGAGCCTGGTGGAACCACTGAGACTATGGCCCCTAGCTGCCCTTCAGGTCTGGAATTGAACCCACACCTGTGGTTTCCAGGCAAACAAAATACAGGCATATGAGTTGAACATTTACCTCAAGTAGATACACTTCTTGGAGAGAATAATCATGGGAGAAAGAAGGGCTGCTTATGCACAGTGAGACAGCTCAGGGGGCAGGAGTGTATGGAGGGATGGACATTGGGAAGAGGTAACTATGGGGAGGAAGTGTGAGGGGAGCTGTTGCATTGTGGTGAACTGTAGTCAATGACATGAGACAAAGTATATGTGAACTGCTGTATGGAAAGTGAATTTGCTTTGTAAATCTTCACCCAAATTACAATTTAAAAAAAAAAAGTTATGTATGTGGATACAAGTGTTTTGTTTTCTTTTTAGGTACTGCATGTAGTTTGATTTTAGACAAGTAAATTTCTCAATTTTCTTCATTATATACCTATAGAAAAAGTGATGGAGGAATAGTTTTGATTTCTTTTTATGCAGACAAAACTGAGTACAAGAGTGGACAAATGATTTGGTTAGAACCTTTTTTTCCTCTTTTCAGGTATCACCTAGTGAATTTCTTAAATTTGTGAACTAAGTTTCTGAATGTATAGCTGATTGCAGGGGTATTTAACTTATATAGTGCAAGAACCATGCTGTATTTTCCATTCAAAATGGTTTCTCTTACTTGCCTTATTAGTTCCTTTGTGTTATTATTGCTGTTAAGTGCCATTGAGTTGGCTCTGAATCATAGCAACCCTTTACAGCAGAATGAAGCACTGCCCAGTCCTGCACTTTCCTTACAATCCTTGCTATGCTTTGACTTATCATTGCGGCCACTGTGTCAGTCCTTTATAGTTCCTTTATAGGGTCAGTTCCTTTAAAAATTTATTTATACTTTTACTAATTAAACAAATTCTTTGCTTTCAGATTCGAATGAAAGGGTCTCTTCCCTCCTTGAGTCCTTTCCCTCAATCATTACTTAATTATTGTAAAGGAGGAGTAGCATTCTTTAGACCGGGAGCAGCCGGAGACCACAAGCTTGATGAAGTTTCCTGTAAAGCAATAGGTTTGTGCCAAAATGAACTGCATGCTTAGAAATTAGACCTAAATATGTAAAATAATATATTTTACATTTGATTTGTGAAAGTTTCTAAACTAGTGTTACTTTTCCAAGCTTGTTCTATGATATTTTACTTTGTGTTTACAAGCAAATTACTCTGTTTTAACAGTCATGTATATATGTATTATGTGTGTGGTTTTAAAGTAAGATTTTATTATTTAAAAAAAAAATTGGGGTAATTATGATATTATCATCATTGCTTTATTATTTAAATTTGAAATTTTAGCACTCAAGAATGCCTTTCCCTGGTAATTTTCCTGCAGTTAGGGTATGTTGTCAACCACTGTAAGTGGATAGGACAAACTATCAGGTTTTGACTTACCAGTTTTGTCTTGCTTTTCTTGCTTAACATGCTCCAGTTAAGTGTTTTCCCCTTTTGTAAACTTTTCATATCTGTTCATTTTAAATGGCTTTTATTAGTGTACATGTTGTAATTTATGTTTGAAGTACTTCTTTTTTTTT